CGTACAAGGTATCAGTTTCCAAATGAAACAATGACATATACTAAAATAAAAATCCCTTGTTATGCTCTGCATTTCGGGCAAATTAGGTCAGTGTCCCGGGATGCGACCCACACCAGTCGACTAACACCCAGGTACCCATTTTACTGATGGGGAACATAGACAACAGGTGGAAAGAAACACATCCAATGTTTCTACTCTGGCTGGGAATCGAACCCAGGCCCTCGCCGTGTGAAGCAAGAGCGTTAGCCACCAGGCCACCAGAGACCATGGGACAAAATACACTAGGTTAATACATTAGAAAATAAAAAAGAAGTCGATTGATCACAGAAGTGTCAAATATTTTTGTATTTTATCAACTACAGTTGCTATTACCAGCCACCCACTCTCCCCCTCCCCCTCCCCCTTCCTCTTCCTCTTATTAGCTCATTAACACTTTGAGGGTCACCAGGCCCTCTCAGAGACTTGTTCTCAGGTTCGCCAAAATTTCCCCCCCAAAAAAAAAAAAAAATTTTTTTCTTGTGAAAAGATAGATAATCTTTTCCCGATCATAATGACACCAAAAGTAGGAAATTCGATGAAAAACTTACGGAATTATGCTCTCGCGAAGTTAGCAGTCTCGACGATGTTTACGCATCGGCGATTTTGCCTACTTTGAGCCCTATTTTCGGCCAATTCCAGTGTACTAGTCAACAAAAATCATAACTATTTCGCTAGAACTCCGTTTTTTCTCTATCGAATGAGTACAAGAAACCACCCATTTACTGATTTCAACTATCCAATAAAGTGGTCAGAATTTAGCAATTTTGCCAATTTCACACAAATTTCGAAAGATGCCAATTTCCAAATAGGGTCCAGAATAAACAGACATTCCTGGCACTAAAATAACATTTCCTCTGTTCATTAGTCACGTCCCCATGCCCCTCTTACATTTCTTTTGCTTTCCACTTAGATTTTTTATTCTCACAAAAAAAATAAGATTTACTGTTATGCAGACTACTGCATTAGTGTGGAAATGGTATAAATAATATCGGCACACTTGTGAAAGAATATTAGACTCGCCAGTTGATGTGTATCGGACGCTTAGCATGATTTGTTTACTTTTGAACTTTGGTAAAAATCAAACATTTCTGCTACTTTGAGCTCAATTTCAAGGTACTTTTCATTGTAAAACCAGTCAAAATCATCTCAATTTCTGTAATGTCTTCCATTCTATACAATGAGACAAGGAAAACTAGAATACAACAATAAATACCATATGAAAATACAGTGCAAAGTTGCTGTTTTAAACCAAAAACACGGTCAAAGTTTTTTTTTTCTCATTACGCACTGTGCTGCAGGATTTTTTTTTATACTGCGCACACTGGCCACATAGACCCATTCTTTCATATGTAGGCCTACCAGCTTTCTCTTGCTAGATTTGAGGGCGGTAGAATTTATGCGTACTAGTACGTCAAAAACCCTGGCGCTTAAGCCGTACTAGTACGGCCAAAACCCCAAAAGGGTTAAATCAAGGGTTTACTGTAAATATTTTTAGAAAAAATGCACAAGGGAATTAACAAATGATGGACTCAACTTCATTGTCTATATCTCACACTTGTGCTGGCTTCTCAAATTGCATATGTTTGAGCCCTCCAGTCAGAGTTTTCACAATTTGTATACTGTACCATGTTATAATATTTCTGGTTTACATAAATCCTTGAATATTAAGATGACTTAGCTTATATAGCTGTGCAAGTTGGTCTACCCCATATTCAAAACCTCTGAATTTTATCACTTGAAGCATTTTCATTATTTTTTTTTTTTTTTACCTTCTATCTTTTTTTTTATTCTATGTGCCTTTCCCTTATGTATGTGCTAGCTGAGCACAGTCATCATTCTTTCTGCTCATTGTTTCTCAGTACATGCAAATTGTTTCCAGTTCACTTCCACAAGAGCCAAACCAATATGTTAAATTAATTATTCTATAATTAAAAGCATTTGAAACATAGTCTGGAGAAGATGGCAAGTGGCCACTATGTTAAAAATAAAAATGAGTGTTTGTAGAGAGAAAAAGCTATTAGTTGTAGATACGTATTTTGTCTGGGATGTTGAGTTTGACTAATCTTGACTCGATACAGGTATTTTATGATGGAAGTGAAAATTTATTTAAATTTGGACAGTGGTTAACCAGTACATATTTTTGTGTTTCTATCAGTAGAGGGATTGGATAGCGACTATTTTACTGTTGTAAAAGCACAAGGAAGACCCAAGAGCTGCATGTAATTCATTACTATATAAATATATTTCCATAGATCATTTTAATTGTAACTATGTACATAATATTGTATAAGTCTTAGTGTTTTTACATGGTAAATTTTTTTTATGGATAAGTCACATGATAATCCTTTTATTAAAATGTGTGGTTTTAATTGTGTGCATATTCTAAAGCCATTATTCTGCAACACTATTTAGTGAAAATTTGACATTAAATTTCAAGTTAATGTTACTGTATTTTACTCGGTATTAATGGGAAGTTGTTTCTAAACATATCGAATAGTTGTAATAAATTTTATTTATAGATAACTTTGAAAAGAATAATGGCTCTTAAATATTCAGTGATAAGCGACTTTTGAAAATGGAAGAGCCATTATTTATAGAGGTAAAAACACACTCAAGTGAATCTAGGAAATCAGGCATGCTCATGTGTATAGTAGAGGTGAGGGTAGTGCATCTGATGAAAGTAGAAAAGTGGCCAGTGCATTAAAATGTGGAATGACTGGTAGGCCTACTGCAATGCTCTTTTATCCAGTAATGTTGATGTGTGTGTTAACCTGATGTTTCTTCGTATGATGCGAGACAGAAAGAGGGATAAATTAAAGGCCTGTATTCTCTGAGAAAATGTCTGTGGTCTTGTGTCTGCTTGTAAATACTTTCTGCTGGTGTGGTTCTCGTCAGTGATATCGAGTTCAGCCTGTTCCCAGTTAAGATGTTGAGACAGTGGTCTTGTGCACCACACAAGCATTGTTATTGGTGTTGATACAGCACTCTTGTTCATTAATAAGAGTCCAGGTCTTGCCCAGTTTGCCTTGTGTACCTTATCATGGCCTTCACAAGGAATATTATATACAACCATTGAATGTCAATTTCCATTGTTTATTTTAGGTGGTTGTGAAGTTCCTGAGTTTGTGGTGAGTGACTGGTTCATTTTCATTTTGCACTAGGGTAAGGGCTGTTCATAGTCTTAATGTGTTTGATCAGTCTTCCTGTGGTGTCATTCTTAACTTTGGGGGTTTGGTGGATGCTAGTGGTCTTATATTGGCCCTTTATTGATCTGAAGTTATTTGTTACTTAGGAGAGTTCATTGTTCAGGAACTGCATTATATATTCTTAATGCTCTGAGAAAAAGCCAACAGCAGCCCTTAATTTTCGTGCTGTGATGGGAATATGATGTTAAATCATCCTTTTTACTTAGTTTGATGTTTACTTCTAATGATATCCAGTAATGGTGGACAGCCTCCCTTATCTAGAATTGGGTTGATGGCTCCACTGAGTTAAGGTCTTTTCCGAGTATCTTGACAAAATAATGCTGGACAAGTGGTCTTCCTAAATATTCTTCGTAGATGTTAGATAGATCAGCATTGAGGAAGGTGTAAATACACTGCCACCTACATCACAAATACTCACTAGGTCTTCACATGGCCTTAGATAAACCAGAGATCTATGTTCAGCAAGTGTATGTACCATCCCTTGAAAAAGCTGAGAGAAAGTAGACATAAGGAAAAACGAGGAAATATCTGAAGACTTGTGTTTGGAATGTTGGTATTCCTGCAACATTAACAAACAAGACAACACTGGTTTGGTGCATAGGAACACTGTCTCAAGTATTAAGGATGGGAACAGGTTGAATTAACATTGTTGAAGACAATTACACTAGCAGAAAGTATTTTGAAGCCACTCTGATTATCATTTAAGACTATTTCTCAGAGCAGAATAACTTTTAGTCTTGCCTCTCATCCTCAATATGCGAAAGAAATGGAAGAAATATCAGTACTGGTTTTCAGAGTTGTGGATGAGTGGAACAGTCTTCTGAGTAGGGTAATCAAGGCGAGGACCTTGGGTAGCTTTAAAAGAGAAAATGGACAAATATACAAGTGGAAGGGCCTGGGTGTGATTGGTGTCGTGGGTATGGGAGTAAATTCCTGGGTACCTTTGGGTGGTGGTGGTTTTGACAAGGACCTGCCTTGCATGGGCCAGTAGGCCTTCCGCAGTGTTTCTCTGTTCTTATGTTTTAGAATTTATGCAATTCAGTTCTCATATTGACATTACTGGATTGCAGAGAACTGCAGTAAGCCCAGTGGCTGTTAAATGCTTGAATAGGCAGATTACTTTTCCACCTTCACCTGGCATTATACCCTCTTTCCTACTAATATATATGGATGTGACCAAAACTTTCTGTTCACTAGGTGTGGGGGAGGGGGGGGGGGCAGAAGTGTACTTGTATAAATCAGTTCTTCTGTTCTTCTCGAGTCTTTTTCTCTGTCATATGTTGCCTCAATTTTACTTTTCTTCAATATTTGTTGCTCTGAATGTTTTTCGTTCGTTAGTGATTTATAATGTTAGTTGTTTTTGGCATTTTTGATGTTTAGCTGGTTGTTGTGCCATTACACTTGAGATTCTAAGGGGCACTATTAAAAAGTAAATTGATAAATTGTTGGGATATGTGTATGCTTGCAGTAACCCTTCCTTAAATCACACATTTTTTTTATTACTACCCATACCTTAAGAAAAGGTGATGCAGCATGTTGGAAACTAATGAATGACTGAGGGTGGTGGAATCTGAAGATGTGACTCTTCAAAGTTCTCAGGATTTCTTCTGCACAAGTGTCAGATACAGAAAGAAACATAGGTGTCTTAACCACAAAATGCCTCGCTCTTTGGATGGTTCTTAATCTGAACTCGTATACTAGATGATGCTGAAAGCAGAAAACTAACAGCCTCATTTCGGGCTCTCCCTTCGACAGGAATGGTCTGCGTCCTTCTCGCTATTACGTCACCAAAGATCGAGTGCTGGTGATGGCTTCAGAAGTGGGCGTATATGACACAGAGCCCGAGAATATTCTGCAGAAGGTAACCAGAGCCACCATCTGCCAGCCAGCTGTTGGGTAGTGAGCTGACTGTCCAGCTGGGCAGAACTGGCGAGATGGTGATGGCATCTGCCAAACGAATCTTCATTAATCATCAACTCATAACTCGCATCATCATTTCAGGACATTGTGACTGAAAACATGACCCATCTTTTTTTGTCATTACTACAGTCTCTCATATGCATAATCATCTCCCAGAAATCAGGAACAGGTATAAGAGTGCCTGGAGGTCATGTTATCAGGGCTGTTGTGCTGTGTCTGTAATGGGCTAGATTTTGTGAAGAATCAGTCATGCCATGTTATTTTGCTTGTTAATTTTTCTCATAAGTCTCATTTTAAAGCTGAGTTGGCTAATTGTTTTGATATGATTCTTCACAAGGGCTCCCATTGCCAACTTATCAGGTAAGTTGTATCAGGTAAGAGGACCAAGAGGAACTGCACACACATTGTTGCATCACCGTGATTTTCATGAATTTAAGATTAGAAGTTCCAAGATTAACACTGAGTAATAGTTGTGTAATATGATCATGTGCACCATCATTTTGTCAATATAATCTTTACAATTTTTTTTTTTAATTATGCATTTATGGTTTCAGATGCAGGTGAAGTCGGAGAAAAGATGACCTTTCCTCCAGTTATACTATTTTGCTTTCCTTTTTTATTTATATTATGCTTGGCTAAGCCAGGCACAAAAGCTATTGTTATTGTAGTCAAGATTTGTTTTTGGATCATTTTCTTTTTTATTTTATTGTAGTGTATAATAGCCAAATAACACATAAACTATGCCACAAACATCCTTAGTGAGAGCAAGCATGTAAAAGACCATGTTCGCTCTCCCGCATGTGTGGCTCTGCTACAAGTGTGATGCTAAAGTGTGCCTGTCTCAGCCGTGGCTCTAGTTCAGAGACTTTTTTCCACATTATATCTGCATCGTTGATTTACAGGGTCGACTGAAACCCGGTCGCATGCTGTTGGTAGACACACACGAAAAAGTTGTGACAAAAGATGAAGAGCTGAAGTTACAAATAGCAAGGTCAAGACCTCATTCACAGTGGATTCAGGAGCAGGTAAACATCTTGCATGATATACTATGTATAACCAACATCTCGTTTATATTTATTGTGTAGTAATTTTGTAATGGAAGTATCATACAAAATGCAAGTGCTAAAGCTTATAAATCTTTAACATAAATAAGTGAATAAATAATATAAATTAGGTGTTTCAGAAGCATTAGTTTCATAAATTTTATATAGTCTAGAAACTTCATTATTATTCTTTCTCATTCATGCTTTACTGGGATTAGATGGTAAGACATTAGCATAAATTGTTATACAGAACTGTGTAGAGTACTTTAGCTTGTATTTGCTTGATAAATAATTGCTGTGAATGAAAGAAAATCAGTACAGTTGGTCATTGGATTGCCTTGCTTGGCTGCAGGAGCTGCATGATCATGTTATAGGGTTATACTCATGAAACTAGCTAAAGTGGATTTGGCAGTAACACAGTTCGGTGAATGTTGAACTCTAATCGTTTAGATTGCTAACCTTGTATAACTTTGCCACTGTTACTGATTACTACTTTCATATCTATCTACAGCTTGTATTTTCATTCCATGTACTGTCACAAGTCTGCCACCATAACCCAGTAGTTGTACATAGTTGAAGGATGTTTTGAAGTTTGTTGATGTAGCTGGTTTGAAAGTAGGTGGTGCTACAAATTTAATAATCATAATAGAAGTAAAAGCCTTAGGATTAAAATAAACATCTGCATACATGAGGTGGTTTGGTCATTTAGAGAGAATGGATCAAAGTAGAATGACATGGAGAGCATTTAAATCTGTAGGAGAAGGAAGGCGGGGTAGGGGTCGTCCTCGAAAAGGTTGGGGTAAGGGAGGTTTTGTGGGTGAGGGGCTTGGACTTCCAGCAGGCGTGCATGAGCGTGTTCGATAGGAGTGAATGGAGACAAATGGTATTTGGGACTTGACGATCTGTTGGAGTGAGAGCAGGGTAATATTTAGTGAAGGGATTCAGGGAAACCGGTTATTTTTATATAGTCGGACTTGAGTCCTGGAAATGGGAAGTACAATGCCTGCACTTTAGAGGAGGGGTTTGGGATATTAGCAGTTGTGTATCTTTATACGTATATGTTGTGTATCTTTATACGTATATGCTTCTAAACTGTTGTGTTCTGAGCACCTCTGCAAAAGCAGTGATTATGTGTGAGTGAGGTGAAAGTGTTGAATGATGATGAAATTTATTTTCTTTTTGGGGATTTTCTTTCTTTTTTGGGTCACCCTGCCTTGGTGGGAGACAGCCGACTTGTTGGAAGAAAAAAAAATTAATAAAAGCATTTGGACTAGTAATGTTTATGACAGTAAATCAGGAAAAAAAGAAATGGCTGGTGGAATGAGAGCTGAGGTCAGGAAGAAAAAGGTAAGAAGGAATGTAAAGTAGTGATAAAGGATTACTCACAGGTATAACTGTTCCAACCAATACATGAGCCTGATTATTGGAGCAGTGGTGCCAAAAGAAAAATGGAATAAGCTATGATGACAAAGGATTGTGCAAAAGTCTGGCTTAAATTAATGAGTCAAGAGAGGGTGGTACTTTATTGCTCTGGGAAATAGTGCTAAGCTAGTCAAAAAAAAAAAAAATATAAAAAGGAATGAAAAGAAGGATCTGTTCTTGAAAAGCAGATGATGGGAATTTGTTACAAGTGTCTGAATGCTGATTGGTGGTAATGCATACTAAAGTGCATTAAACATATTTTATTAAACTGTTGTAATGCTACTATTATGCTGTGATGGTGCAGTTTTCATGTGAGATGTAGCATGAAGGACTTGATGTTGCTTTGTAGCTTTAGTTCTCTTTTAACAAATTTTCCAACTGGTTAGGCAGTAATAACTTTTTCAAACTTGATTTGAGGAAATATATAGGTAAAATACTTTTAATGAAAATTTGATTTGTCTTTGCAGTTTACGTTGGATGACTTGTATGCTGTTCATGAAGGTGACTTGTCACAAGAATCACCTGAAAATGATAATATAAATGTGGAAGTCAATGGAGAGGAAAATGGCACCACGATACGCTCGTATGGGGGCGATCGTCGTCTTGGCATGTTTGGCTATACCATTGAAACACTTAATATGTTGCTCTTGCCAATGGTGACAACTCAGTAAGTAGAATACTGTATTCATAATTTTTAGCAAGCACATTTGGTGGACATTATTTGCTCTTAAAGCACAAGGTAATCCTTATGAAAGGATTCAGGGAAACCAGTTAGCTGGATATCAGTTTTGGAGGTGGCAAGTTTATTTAGGTACAGGTACACAAAAGTACAAATATCTTACTAACATGTGTATATTACCTAGGATAACTCAAAGTAAGTGTACAGTACCTTCACTCTGACAGGAGGGGTGGATGTTACATTTTGTAGTTAAATTGATCCGTGATGTCTCTACAAGTGTGGAAAGACAGATATTAAATGAGTAATGGTGAATGTTTCCTATTTTGAATTGCCATATGTTAGTGGATAATGGCTGGTGTGTTAAAAAAAAAAAAGGAGGGGGGGGAACAGAATTAGATTGTTCTATTCATTTAAAGCTATCAAATTCAAAAATATTATGAAGTACTGAGCACTAAGCACTTGAAAATTGTTTTCCAGGAAAATTCCCGTCACCAACTTAAGTTGGGCGTTGCTCTGCCTGTCCTCATTAGCTCTGGGCTTAAAGGAATTGCTGGTTTTCATACCTTAAAAGCATTATCTATTGTATATTCTCTAGTATTCTCTCATCCCCCCCCCCCCCCCAAGTCTGCCATCTCCCACCGAGGCAGGGTGACCCAAAGAGAAAGAAAATACTTTCATCATCATACAACACTTTCACCTCACTCGCACATAATCACTGTTTTTGCAGAGGTGCCCAGAATACAACAGTTTAGAAGTATATATAATTTTTTTTTTATTATCACACTGGCCGATTCCCACCAAGGCAGGGTGGCCCGAAAAAGAAAACTTTCACCATCATTCACTCCATCACTGTCTTGCCAGAAGGGTGCTTTACACTACAGTTTTTAAACTGCAATATTAACACCCCTCCTTCAGAGTGCAGGCACTGTACTTCCCATCTTCAGGGGCTCAAGTCCGGCCTGCCGGTTTTCCCCGAACCCCTTCATAAATGTTACTTTGCTCACCCCTCCAAACAGCACGTCAAGTATTAAAAACCATTCGTCTCCATTCACTCCTTTCAAACACGCTCACGCACGCCTGCGGAAGTCCAAGCCCCTCGCACACAAAACCTCCTTTACCCCCCCCTCCAACCTTTCCTAGGTCGACCCCTACCCCGCCTTCCTTCCACTACAGACTGATACACTCTTGAAGTCATTCGTTTCGCTCCATTCTCTTACATGTCCGAACCACCTCAACAAAACCCTTCCTCAGCCCTCTGGACAACAGTTTTGGTAAAACCCGCACCTCCCCCTAACTTCAAAATACGAATTCTCTGCATTATATTCACACCACACATTGCCCTCAGACATGACATCTCTGCCTCCAAACCTTCTCCTTGCTCAACATTCATCACCCATGCTTCACACCCATATAAGAGTGTTGGTAAAACTATACTCTCATACATTCCCCTCTCTGCCTCCAAGGACAAAGTTCTTTGTCTCCACAGACTCCTAAGTGCACCACTTACCCTTTTCCCCTCATCAATTCTATGATTCACCTCATCATTCATAGACCCATCCGCTGACACGTCCACTCCCAAATATCTGAATACATTCACCTCCTCCATACTCTCTCCCTCCAATCTGATATCCAATCTTTCATCACCTAATATTTTTGTTATCCTCATAACCTTACTCAAGAAATCGTAATGACACGATTGCAAACAAACCATACCCCCGGCCGGGATTGAACCCGCGGTCATAGTCTCAAAACTCCAGCCCGTCACGTTAGCCACTAGACCAGCTAGCCACAATAAGATTCGTCCAACTAGGTATATTTCTACAACATAGGAAGGTTAGCACAGGCACAACTGTGACCACAAATGCATTTGTGGTCACAGTGGTGCCTGTGCTAACCTTCCTATGGTGTAGAAATATACCTAGTTGGATGAATCTTATTGTGGCTAGCTGGTCTAGTGGCTAACACGACGGGCTGTAGTTTTGAGACTATGACCGCGGGTTCAATCCCGGCCGGGGGTATGGTTTCATAACCTTACTCTTTCCTGTATTCACTTTTAATTTTCTTCTCTTGCACACCCTACCAAATTCATCCACCAATCTCTGCAACTTCTCTTCAGAATCTCCCAAGAGCACAGTGTCATCAGCAAAGAGCAACTGTGACAACTCCCACTTTGTGTGATTCTTTATCTTTTAACTCCACGCCTCTTGTCAAGACCCTCGCATTTACTTCTCTTACAACCCCATCTATAAATATATTAAACAACCACGGTGACATCACACATCCTTGTCTAAGGCCTACTTTTACTGGGAAATAATTTCCCTCTTTCCTACATACTCTAACTTGAGCCTCACTATCCTCGTAAAAGCTCTTCACTGCTTTCAGTAACCTACCTCCTACACCATACACCTGCAACATCTGCCACATTGCCCCCCTATCCACCCTGTCGTACGCCTTTTCCAAATCCATAAATGCCACAAAGACCTCTTTAGCCTTATCTAAATACTGTTCACTTACATGTTTCACTGTAAACACCTGGTCCACACACCCCCTACCTTTCCTAAAGCCTCCTTGTTCATCTGCTATCCTATTCTCCGTCTTACTTTTAATTCTTTCAATAATAACTCTACCATACACTTTACCAGGTATACTCAACAGACTTATCCCCCTATAATTTTTGCACTCTCTTTTATCCCCTTTGCCTTTATACAAAGGAACTATGCATGCTCTCTGCCAATCCCTAGGTACCTTACCCTCTTCCATACATTTATTAAATAATTGCACCAACCACTCCAAAACTATATCCCCACCTGCTTTTAACATTTCTATCTTTATCCCATCAATCCCGGCTGCCTTACCCCCTTCCATTTTACCTACTGCCTCATGAACTTCCCCCACACTCACAACTGGCTCTTCCTCACTCCTACAAGATCTTATTCCTCCTTGCCCTATACACGAAATCACAGCTTCCCTATCTTCATCAACATTTAACAATTCCTCAAAATATTCCCTCCATCTTCCCAATACCTCTAACTCTCCATTTAATAACTTTCCTCTCCTATTTTTAACTGACAAATCCATTTGTTCTCTAGGCTTCCTTAACTTGTTAATCTCACTCCAAAACTTTCTTATTTTCAACAAAATTTGTTAATAACATCTCACCCACTCTCTCATTTGCTCTCTTTTTAGATTGCTTCACCACTCTCTTAACCTCTCTCTTTTTCTCCATATACTCTTCCCTCCTTGCATCACTTCTACTTTGTAAAAACTTCTCATATGCTATTACTTTTCTCCCTTACTACTCTCTTTACATCATCATTCCACCAATCGCTTCTCTTCCCTTCCGCACCCACTTTCCTGTAACCACAAACTTCTGCTGAACACTCTAACACTACATTTTTAAACCTACCCCATACCTCTTCGACCCCATTGCCTATGCTCTCATTAGCCCATCTATCCTCCAATAGCTGTTTATATCTTTCCCTAACTGCATCTTCTTTTAGTTTATAAACCTTCACCTCTCTCTTCCCAGATGCTTCTATTCTCCTTGTATCCCATCTACCTTTTACTCTGTGTAGCTACAACTAGAAAGTGATCTGATATATCTGTGGCCCCTCTATAAACATGTACATCCTGAAGTCTACTCAACAGTCTTTATCTACCAATACATAATCCAACAAACTACTGTCATTTCGCCCTACATCATATCTTGTATACTTATTTATCCTCTTTTTCTTAAAATATGTATTACCTGTAACTAAACCCCTTTCTATACAAAGTTCAATTTAGAAGTATATACGTACAAAAATACACAATATATCTCTCCAAACTGCCAATATCCCAAACCCCTCCTTTAGAGTGCAGGCATTGTACTTCCCATTTCCAGGACTCGAGTCCGGTTATATAAAATAACCGGTTTCCCTGAATCCCTTCACTAAATATTACCCTGCTCACACTCCCAACAGATCATCAGGTTCCAAATACCATTTGTCTCAATTCATTCCTATCTAACACGCTCACGCACGCTTGCTGGAAGTCCAAACCCTTCGCCCACAACACCACCTTTACCCCCTCCCTCCAACCTTTTCGAGGACAACCCCTACCCCGCCTTCCTTCCCCTACAGATTTATACGCTCTCCATGTCATTCTACTTTGATCCATTCTCTCTAAATGACCAAACCACCTCAACAAACCCTCTTCAGCCCTCTAACTAATACTTTTATTAACTCCACACCACCTAATTTCCACACTCCGAATTTTCTGCATAATATTTGCACGACACATTGCTCTTACAGGACATCTCCACTGCCTCCAACCGCCTCCTTGCTGCAGCATTTACAACCCAAGCTTCACACCCATATAAGAGTGTTGGTACTACTATACTTTCATACATTCCCTTCTTTGCCTCCATAGATAACATTTTTTTCCTTCACATGTACCTCAATGCACCACTCACCTTTTTTCCTTCATCAATTATATGATTAACCTCATCCTTCATAAATCCATCTGCTGACACGTCAACTCCCAAACATCTGAAAACATTCACTTCTTCCATACTCCTCCTCCCCAATTTGATATCAAATTTTTCTTTATCTAAATCATTTGATACTCTGATCACCTTATTATTTTCTATGTTCACTTTCAACTTTCTACCTTTACACACATTCCCAAATTCGTCCACTAACCTTCGCAGTTTTTCTTTAGAATCTCTCATAAGCACAGTATCATCAGCAAAAAGTAACTGTGTCACTTCCCATTTTGTATTTAATTCCCCATAATTTAATCCCACCCCTCTCCCGAACACCCTAGCATTTACTTCTTTTACAACCCCATCTATAAATATTTTAATTATTTTAATAATTAATTAATTAATTATTTTAATTATTTTTAAATTAGTTTTTAAGTTAGTAATTTTTATTTTGCATTATTTGCAGCCATGTCTCGGTTAGTGCGAGTATGATTAGTACCAACTTCAATTTAGTGCAAAATTAATTAGTGCTAATCACTTCACCCCCCACCCCCTTGCTCTTCAAATCATGCACAAAAATTACACATAATTCAAATAATGCAAATTCAAATACTAATGTGATCACTTCACAAGATTTATGATTTGCACTAATAGACCTAGCTATATATTTTTTTTTTTTTGTTGTATGCATATTGTCACAAGGAATTGGGACAGAATTCTTCCTCCTTGAGCCATGCGTGTCTTAAGAGACGACTAAAATGCCAGGAGCAAGGGGCTAGTAACCCTTTCTCCTATATATATTACTAAATTTAAAAGGAGAAACTTTCATTTTTACTTTTGGGTCACCCTGCCTCGGTGGATACGGCCGGTTTGTTGAAAGAAGAAAGACGTTTCTTCTGTCCCAGTGTACCATGATGAGCAATGCATAGAAAAATTAAATTTATAAAAAATACACTGTTGCAAGAACTTGATTTTGTCATCAGCTTACTGGAAGATGAATTATAGTCAATTAAGCAGTCTTTTTGATTGCATATTGTTAGATTGCTAAACAAAGGGAAACATGATTTGGCCTTGTGTCCAGGCATGGGAATTATCTGAATGATAAATGAGCATGGCTTAAACATACAATGTCCTTTTGTGTTGGAGTGAAGAAATGCCATTCTTAGACCACCAAATATTTGGTAAATATGATTCAGCCTTACCTTTCAGTGCATTAGGTTTCTCTAAATAAACTAACATGGGCTTACACATGACATGTCCATTATGCTTGAGCAGAGAAACATGAGCTATGCAGTTGCCAGTTACTTGGTTCAATCACCCAATCTTGTTAGACTGCCAAATAGAGGGTGAACATGGCAGCCTACCTGTCAAGCCACTGAAATTACTACTCTACATTGTAAAATAAGTTAAACTGTTATAGGTTACTGGCAGTCACCAACTCCATCCCTTGCTCCTTCACAGACGGCAGCATTAGGCTAAATAATTCTATATTACTACATTACTAGGCGTACTCATTACATGCATTATATAAACTTTCGAGAACGTGTGATAATGAAGACACTGTGCAAGTGTGCTTCTTGTGGTAGTTCACTGCAGAGGAATACTTCTGAGCACACTTCCAGATTTACAGTAATCTATTTTTTTATTTATTATCACACTGGCCGATTCCCACCAAGGCAGGGTGGCCCGAAAAAGAAAAACTTTCACCATCATTCACTCCATCACTGTCTTGCCAGAAGGGTGCTTTACACTACAGTTTTTAAACTGCAACATTAACACCCCTCCTTCAGAGTGCAGGCTCTGTACTTCCCATCTCCAGGACTCAAGTCCGGCCTGCCAGTTTCCCTGAGCCCCTTCATAAATGTTACTTTGCTCACACTCCAACAGCACGTCAAGTATTAAAAACCATTTGTCTCCATTCACTCCTATCAAACACGCTCACGCATGCCCGCTGGAAGTCCAAGCCCCTCGCACAAAAAACCTCCTTTACCCCCTCTCTCCAACCTTTCCTAGGCCGACCCCTACCCCGCCTTCCTTCGGGGTCGGCCTACAGTAATCATTTTCTGCATATTCTAATCAGTTATTCAGGTATGTCAGTCTGAAATTAGCTGAATTACTGGTTCTAGCAGTAATTGTGAGAAAGCATTGTGTATTCTTAGGCTTGTTGAATTTCTTCACACTATTATTTTCTATACTGGAGTAATACCCTTGTAAAATAAGTTTAGTCTCAGATTCTTAATGTTTTTTTTAATCTTTCAGGAAAGAAGCTTTAGGTTCCATGGGTAACGATGCTCCACTAGCATGCCTCTCGGAGTTTCAACCTCTCATTTACGACTACTTCAAGCAGCTGTTCGCCCAGGTCACCAACCCTCCCATTGATCCTTTCCGTGAAAAAATTGTGATGTCGCTTGCTTGTCCTATTGGTAAGATATGACCACCAATTCTGATATGTACTTCGATAAATGAACAGATCTCCCAACTAGTTTGTTTGTTTTTATTGTTTCAGTTGATTTTTCTTTAACTTTAATTTTTTGTAGATTTGCAAATTTTGTGATTGGGGGGGCTTCTTGAGGGAAATTTATTAATGCAATTCAGGGGGTTTTGTATTTTTTCCATCTTTTTTTGGGGGGGGAGGAAAGCAAGAAGTTTAAAGGGGGGGAACAAATTACCTTTCTCCCTCTTCCTTCTTTCTCTCTCTTCTCTCTCTCTTCTCTTCTCTCTCTTCTACTCTTTCTCTTTTCTTTTCTCCTCTTTTCTCTTTTTCTCTCTTTCTCTTCTTCTCTCTCTCTTTCTCTTTCTTTCTCTTCTTTCTCTTTCTTTCTCCTTTCTTTCTCTCTTTCTTTCTCTTTTCTCTTTTTTCTCTTTCTCTTCTCTCTCTTCTCTTTCTCTCTCTTTCTTTCTCTCTTTTCTCTCTTTCTCTTTTTTTCTCTTCTTTCTCTCTTTTCTCTTTCTCTTTCTCTCTCTTTCTTCTCTTTCCTTTCTCTCTCTCTTTCTCTCTCTCTTTCTCTTTTCTCTTCTCTTTCTCTCTTTTCTCTTTCTCTTCTTTTCTCTTTCTCTCTTTTCTCTTTCTCTTTTCTCTCTCTTTCTCTCTTTTTCTCTCTCTTTCTTTCTCTCTCTCTTTTTTCTCTTTCTCTTTCTCTCTTTCTTTCTCTCTTTCTCTTTTCCCCTTTCCTCTCTCACTTTCTCTTTCTCTCACTTTCTCTCTTTCTCTCCTCTTCTTTTCTCTCTATTTCTCCCCCTTCCTCTATTATTTTTTTTTTTTACAAGGGTTTGAAAAGGGTTTAAAGGATCCCTGCTTTATTGAAAAGCATTAAAACAGGTTAAGGATTCCTAACTTTATTGGCAAGCTAAGAGCTGTTACCTACATCGTCATTTGAAAGCATTTTTATTGTTATGAGACATACAAGTGGGGGAACAAGATGAAATTGGAGCCATCTGTGGGCCAGCATTTTCATTTGATCACTGACTTTATCTCGTTGACCATCTTATCTGTAAACGAATGTGTTCCACTCGAGTTCATCCTGGGTATATAAAAAAGACTCAGATGGAGTGAGTTCGGAGAAGGGTACAGCCAGAGTGAAGTTCTGCTTTCTGATTCCCTGGTTCCGTCTTGTGCATAAAAGCTTGTTTCACGCTGTCCTCAAGTGGATCCAATGTGGTATTTGACAATATTGGCCTTGTACCATAACAGTAGGCCACCCACATTCCTCTCCTATGTGGAAGGCTCTGCTGAAATGAACAGATCCTATCCAGGATGGGTCCAGCAAGAGAATGAGACGTCTTGCTCTGCTTCTCCACTCTGTCCAAGCCATCGCAGATGAGAGGGGTGGAGGGGCAGGCAAACCAAGAAAATTGGAGCATACTCAAGTGGAGTGCATCTTGTCCTTGTACTCAGAATCTTGCAACCCCTACTGTCCAAGCAGATGGCGAGACACAAGCGAAGTGGCTGTTAAGCTTCCTGTCTGCTTGTTTTGCTAGATTTTTACAACATGGTTCTTCATGTTTAGTTTGGAGTCAAATTTCACCCCCAATGGATATCAACTTCATTCGCCAGGGAGCCAACCCCTCCCATTCATCCTTACTACTGCACCACATTATCATCATGGTGCCTAGAGAACGATCATCATTTGCGTTTTCATCAGGTGCAAATGTTACTTTGCCATATATTGTCTCCAAGCTGTATAGCTCTCTGCTGGTGATGATGTAGCTTAGAGCAGCTGGCATTTCAATCTCTTGGATAAGTGAATGTCAGGTACATCATCTGCCATATGCATGTATTCCTGGATAAGATGAAGAAGGTCATTGAATAGACATACCATAACAATGGCCCCCAGCCCCGCTTCCTTGTGGAACACTTGCCCCAATAGGAATGTCCTTGCTGATTCCGTTCCATTGAGAACTACACTTAGAAATCTACCATGAAGGTAAACACTGGGAACATAGCGTAGAGCATGCAATATCCCAGTGGCTTGTAGGTTTGCTAAGAGGCCCTGTGCACACCCTGTCGAAAGCACCCAGCAATGGTCCAGTGCTACCACACCCTGATTTGGATTCATCCAGTGACTGTGGGCCACCATAGTGGAGAGGTTTAACAACAGAATCATAGCAGAGTAACCTTTCCTGAATTATATTGACGATCACAAAGTAGTGAGTGAGTAGTCAAAAAACTGTCATTTTCTTGAATTATTGTCTCAGGATCTTTCCAGTGATTGACAAGGATGACATCGGTCTGTAGTTTCTGATTTTCTGCTCTGCTCTTCTTTTTGTGGAACAGGGACTACATTTACCTCTTTCCACAGAGAGGGCCATTTACACTGTACTAGGCAGTGCTGAAAGATGCGAGTTAGAGGTGCTGCAAGCTGGTCCTGCACATCTTGGCAAGCTTGGGCTCAACTTGGTCTGGCCCTCAGCCTTTCTTGGTCGAGCGATTTAAGAAGGAAAATGCACCTCCTCCTGCCATAATGTCACCACTGATAGTTTTGACACAGTTTCTTGCAGCTAGCCAAGGAGGAGTCCCTTGCTGGATAGGAACTTTGGATTTTGGTATGCAAAGTGTTAAGCAAGAGGTCTGCCTCTCTTGTCTACTATGTAGAGGTGGTCCCATCCTGTTTGATTTAGAGGTGGAATGATTTCATCAGGCAAGATAACCTGTCTGTCATGACCAGGACCAGCCTGGTTCTTTTGGGAGCCTAACCTACCTGATGTAACTTTCTTTTAGTGTCCACCTCCCATATTGAGAAATGGCCCACTTTTTGAATGTCACCCAATATGGCCTACAGCTTGCCTGTGCAAGTTCCTGTTAGAGGGGTAGGATGTCCTCTTAACCTTTGGGCCATGGCTTTGTACTTAGCAGTAGCAGCCTCTCTACAACGAAAGCCAAACCCAAGGCTGATTGCTGTAGGCTTTGTCACATATTGGCCGGTGAGGAAAGTGTTTTCATGTTGTAGATTAAGGATTGTCCAGTGAAGGCTTTCACCTTGGTTGTCCAACATCCCTTGGAGAAGATCATTCCAATTTTGTGTGGCAAGCTCAGAGCAAAGGCTGGCCAATTACCAATTACCTCTTTTTCCCCAAAGCCCCGGTTGGCTGTGGACTCCTCCAACCTGGTTCTGTTGATCTTAAGTGTCGAACAACAAGCCTTGTGGTCAGACTATCCATTGTATCTGAGGGGTTGACAATGGACTATGCCTCTGCCAGATCACTGCACTACTGGGGTCAAGGGAGGAACCAGAGATGGAGTAGGGAAATCAACAAAGTTTCTCAATGTCAAATACTGCAAGAAGGTCATCAAGTCCCTCTGTATAAGGTTTGGGGGGGGTTTTGGTTGAGGTGACCAACAATTTATATATGTGAACAGTTGTGGGTTGTAGCAGAAGGGAGTCGTATTTTCCCCATTAGGAAGTTGATGGGGTCTGATGTTGCCATCGAGGTCCTGTACATTGCACATGCTAGTAAAGAGGTACTAGTGGTTTTTATGCCGAGCTTGACATCATTTCAAGATGTGTAGGGTGGCAAACATCAATGGCTGGGCATGAACACTTTTAGAGAAGCACACAGACAACACGCTCCTCCATACCCTTGCTGTCTCTTCTCATCCATGAGTGTAGCCAGCAATTCTTGAAAAATTTTTCTGGAGTCCTGTCTCCAAAAATGTTTCAACAACAATATCATTTCGGGATGTCGAGTGTTTTCACAAAACTTGTGTGAGCTCTCCAACATTAGTAAATGGACACCACTAATGTTGGCCAGACAGGATGCTGATAGACTGGCTCCTCATATGTATCAGCTTGATGTGGTGTTTAGGGCCATATAAAGGTGCCAGCCCTTAAAAAAAGGTATGGTACTAGGCAGCTGCAGGGATGTAGGTCTGTGGTCTTGTATAAGGCCCAAACCCCACCTGCTGTACTGGGATAGGAGTAGCTGAGTGGGTGAGTGTGAGTGCGTTTACTCAATTCAGAGATCCTGCTGGTTTTGTTCCTGAGACAAGTCTCTAAACAGTTGGTTCTGCTGTCAAGTTTCATTTTTCTTCTGACACTGTCCTCCTATGTCCTTTCTTGTAGCAGTAATTGCCACCTGGTATCTCGCAGAGCAGTTTTGGCGGTGTGCCCTTCCGGTACACGAGAGATCAGCTAGGGGCCTGGAAGGGTGGACTATGATTTGTTGCACCTCCCTGTGTTTTGCAGATTTGACCTCAGGTTCTGCTAGCTGGAGACTGTGTTATGGAGGGCGAGAATGGGCGTAGATGTCCTTCCTCCTCCACGTACGACTTCCATGTCCTCAGCCCCGTCCTCTACCAGTTTCTACAGATGTTGTCCCTGATGTTCGTACTTTGGCGCAGTAGGTGATCGTGAAGTGATAGTCTCCTATTATTAACAGCACCAATCCGTGGAGAAACCTCCTGACTCAGAACTTGCTGATGAAGCACTGCTGCCAATTCTGGAACTGCAATCTGGTGGCAGTATTTGGAACAAGTAGGCCTCCTTACCTCTAAGAAGAATTTTGTCCCTTGTGGTATACCCACAAACACTGCAGTAACTATGGGACAATAGCCAATAGCGTAGATATTCTTGCTATTTTTGTGATGTGAAAGTCATCCCCAGAGGAGGCTTGTAAGGTTTGCAATGAAGTTCATCAGAGAGAGAGCGCGTGGGTGGGGATATCATGGGTGGTTGGAGTATCGTGGGTGGAGGTGTTTTATAGCAGGGTGGGTAGTGAGGCAGGCAGTGGGCCGCGAGCTGGGAAGTGTTGCCTTCTCACTATCACTTAATAAACACTGTTTAAGCTATCAACTTTTCTACTAAAGGAAGAATAACAACGAATCTCTGTTGCATTGTACCAGTCATGTGTTATAAAAGCACCAGAGGCTAGTACATAGCACAAAAGACAATAATATTATTAGAACTCACTGTGCAGAGGGCAATAG